TTCAAACCACGCCCTCCCAATATTATTGGCAAATATAAGCGATTGAGGGAAGAGCGAGGGTGGTGGGAACTATTGTCTGACATGATTCGTCGTGTGAGGGCGTCAATACCCTGAATCTTTTGTTTCGTCTAGATCAACAACACCAACAGTAGGCGAAGGAACGGCTACAGCATAAGTATTTGTGGCTTTGACTTTATTGCGAGCGTTCAGCTCAGAACTCAGGATTTTCTTCAGTCTACATTTGTACTATTATTAATATTATTATTATTATTATTATTAGACATGGTAAATCGTTGAATCAGGACTTCCGTGGTGTCAGTGTCGATTACATTCCTTTTGTGGGTTTGCGTAAGTTACTTGATGCTAATTTTTCACTTCCACTTCAATAAATATTTCACTTCCACTTCAATAATATTGGTATTTAGCGACATGCTTCTAAATCCTATGTCAAGGGCACGTCATCACATTTGAAAAAATGTGAACATGTGCCGTCTAAACATTTACATTTCGGAGGGAATCCTGGTTACTCCTGTTCTTGCGGCCAAATGGTTTACGTAAAGGAGAAATCACTTCTCCTAGGGATTACTTGACAGGAGGGAACATACCGAGGGGGCCGTAGGAATAACTCTGGATTAGTTCTTGCAGCCACACACACAATGCATTGACGTATAAATACATTCCGGGGTAGAATAGGTCTTCAGCAACCCATGCTTGCCATAAAAGGTGACTTTGCTTGTCGTAAAACGTGACTAACGGGATCGGGTGGTCAGACTCGCTGACTTGTTTGATGCATGTCATCGATTCCAATTGCTCATGATATTAATCGCTGGATCGTACGGTCAAGACTCGATATTTTTACAGGCCGCCGTCATATAACTGGAATATTGCTGAGTGCGGAGTTAAACAGCAAACCAACCAACCAACGTATAAATGCATTTATCTTGAAAGCAACGTTAAACCCCATTGCACCTCACCTCACATTTCATTGAAAAGCGGTGGTGAAGAAGGGATAAAGAATCCAGCAGGACATTCAACAAAGGCTTCCGATGCTTGACATTTGATATTCCGTGAGGAAATCGGTCACATGTGCAAACACGTCTAATGAGGTGTGTTATAGAAACAGAATTAGTTCAAACACGAGGGGTGACATTTCCTTTGGTCCATGTTCTTCGCATTGCTTCCTGCAGGTTAGCAGTCTGATTAGGCTTTACATATCATCGGCTTCCTTCTTTACAATCTGTCGCCCACACTGTTAACGTCATTCCGTTGGCATTCCGAGCGCCTGTTCAATGTATGGAGACCATTCCTGGTGTCTCCAGTCGTATTGCATCTTGCTGACTAAAGTGGAGTAAAGTATTGTCGCTCAGTATCCATGTGAGAATATTGGGAAACATAATACCGCTTATTGTTTGTTTGTTTAACGCCGCACTCAGCAATATTCCAGCTATATGACGGCGGTATGTAAATAATCGAGTCTGTACCAGACAATCCATTGATTGATATCTTGAGCGTCGATCCACGAAATTGGGATCGATGACATGCATCGCGATCGACAAGTCAGCGTGCCTGACCACCCGATCCCGTTAGTCGCCTCTTACGACAAGCATAGTCGCCTTTTACGGCAAGCATGGGTTGCTGAAGACCTATTCTACTCCGCATTTTCACTGGTCTTGTTGCATTTGGAAACAGAGTGGAATCAATCCCAGGACTTGCCACCACAGATACTCTTTACTTTCACGTCGCAAACACTTGGGGTTTCACTCCTAGAAACCAATCAACCAGAACCAGCACGGCACGACGAGAGTATGGACTTTATCTATTTTTCTGTATGCTACAATTTGATCACCTTTCAAACCAACAGCAGCTATGGCTATGGGGCATGTGGTAATCAAATCAACTACGTTTTTAAAGTGGCTTTTTATGGCTGAAGAGCCGACCACACAGAGCGCAAACGCCACTGGGCTCGGAGATTTTGTCTACTTCCACGACCGACGGCCGCATTTGAACCTTCACCCACGATAGTGAATGAATTGCTAAAAGGAATGTAGTGCCATGTTGGAGGGAGGTGAGTTGGCACTATGGATATGATGCACGTAATTTTCCATTTAATATAAACGAACTTGATGATTTCAACTTTGGCCACGATAACGCATGGCGCACCTTGTCTTTGTATATACGTGTACACACATACCATAGTCTGTTTGTTTGTTGTTTAACGCCGCACTCAGCAATATCCCAGGTATATGACGGCGGTCTGTAATTAATCGAGTCTGGACCAGACAATCAAGTGATTGACATCATGAGCATCGATCCACGCAATTGGGATCGATGACATGCATCAACCAAGTCAGCGAGCCTGACCACCCGATCCCGTTAGTCGCCTCTTACGACAAGCGTAGTCGCCTTTTTCGGCAAGCATGGGTTGCTGAAGACCTATTCTACCCCGGATCATAACGGGTCAGATGGCACATGCATTTTATGATTAACAGTCGACTAAATATAGATCGTTGTAGTTGTCTTCCATCGTACACATCGTCATTTACATATAGCTGGAATATTGTTGAGTGCGGTGTTAAACAAATAAACAAACAAACAAAGCATGGGCCATCTGCTGTGTGGACCTATATTTTTTGATCCAAGTTATCAACCACTGTTTTTTCCTGCCCTGATCCTATTGGGATATTGCTGGAAAAAGTTAAAAAAAACATTGATCGTTCATGTACTGTGGTTGTTTGTATATTTACACGTACTTTCATAAAAAATATAACAAATTAGTCATATTTAAGGGACCTTTCTCTAACATTCTACAATTAAGGGTACGTTATGTCCATTGTGTCATCGACCCGTGAAGATTCCGGGGTAGAATAGGTCTTCAGCAACCCATGCTTGCCATAAAAGGCGACCATGCTTGTCGTAAGAGGCGACTAACGGGATCGGGTGGTCAGGCTCGCTGACTTGGTTGATGCATGTCATCGTATCCCAAGTGCGTGGATCGATGCTCATGATGTCAAGCACTGTCTGGTCGAGGCTCGATTCTTTACAACCCGCCGTCATATTGCTGGAATATTGCTGAGTGCAGCGTTAACCAACAAGCAAACAAACAAACAAACATTCTACGTTGGACGGGATCTGTAACCGTAACCAAAAACTGTAACATTTCAGGACTTATAACAATCTTCTTATTGATCCACCGTGTCTTTTTGAGATTTGCATCATGCGTTCTTGGCTTCCTGCTAATGTATGGCTTTGTGGAAGGATCAGTCGGATCGATGCTTATGAAGGCAGAGATTTATTCGTTGGTCGATGTTTTGCAAATACCTTTGTCAATCACTCTTTGCTTTGTTAATGTACATGTTTACATATCCGACGCTGTTTTAAGCAGTTAATCAATTTGTCAGTGAGTGTGTTGTGTGTTAGTTGGGTTTAGAGTCCCAGTAATTGAGTGGCATAGATATCACAGTGGGTGAGCGTTGGAAATAAAAATGTAGAGGTTGATGTTAACTGCAGTTGGCTGTTGATTGGACATTGTAACAAATATAGACGTGGGCGTCGTTTGTCAAGGCTCTGGTGAAGAGAATGCTGAAATTTTATTGAGAATGTATCAGGTTTCAATGATAATTCTCACGCATATCACTTCTCTTTAAATTTATTTGTTTGCTTGTTGCTTAACGCCACACTCAGCAATATTCCAGCTATATGACGGCAGCCTGTAAATAATCGAGTCTGGACCAGACAATCCAGTGATTGACAACATGAGCATCGATCCACGCAATTAGGATACGATGACATGCATCAACCAAGTCAGCGAACCTGACCACTCGATCCAGTTAGTCGCCTCTTACGACAAGCATAGGCGCCTTTTACGGCAAGCATGGGTTGCTGGAGACCTATTCTACCGCGGATCTTCACGGGTCTCTCTCTAAAAAAATACTGCACCTGATTAAGTGTTCCTGGGAAACTGGGAAAAATACACTAACTCTTTGATTTTTTAATAAAACAAAGGTTTGCTGGACATGCTAGCTATTAAAAAAAAAAAAAAGCCTTGGGAACATGCATTCTTTTTTTTAATTATTTACTTACATGACTTGGCATCTTCTGACAACCTCTTTCCAAGACCACAAATGGAATACAAAAACAAACATATTTCCAAAGTGTAGCTATCTACCAAAACATACACTTCGAACCAATCCAGATAATCCAATGTAATCCACATTAGGACATATTCTGAAAAGGAGGTCTGTGTGACACTACCCCTCAAAAACGTTCAGAATAAAGGTTCATTCTATGATCTTTCCTATCTTGGAAAGTAAGTTTTTTCATCCAGTGTAATAATGTAAAGTTATAAGCAGCAAAACCCATTCCATGATCGTAAGAAATATCTGCTAAAAGCAGTCCAATGTACTATCCCGAGTATAATAAGCATGTGCTACAGATTCAATATCAGTCATGAGTCCGACACCAGGTATTCCCGTCACAAACACATGCAAGGGAAAGTCAAGTGTTCAATGACATCGATTCGTCGGTCACGAGATTGCACTGAAGACCACGAAACCTTGATGTATTAACACAAAATATCCTGAACAATTCTTAATTCCCTTTTTGTTTCCATTTAATCGGGATACATTAGAATTTTTCCCATGATGCCATCATGATCTGGATAAAATGTCTTTTTCTGTATCTGTATGACTCACTCACTCACTCACCCAGACACTCAAGGGGGCACGGGTGGCCCAGTCATCTAAGGCGCCGCGATTCGCTGTGCAGAGTTGCGTCCCTTGGGCACGCCAGAAACCTATGATTGTGAGTTCGAATCCCGGTTCGCCCCGATTGTTTCTAGGTTTGTCAGCACCATACCCGTGCTCGTGGGTTTCACCGAAGTGGTAAACGTGTGAGACTTGCATCACTTCGGGCTTTCCTCCCACATTAAGCTGACACGCCGTGATATAACTGGAATACTGTTAAAAGCGGCGTTAAACCCAACTCACTCACTCACTCACCCAGACACTCAATCAATCAAACACCCACCCATCTACTCACTCACTGTCACTATCTCACTCGCTCACTCTTCGGATTTAAGATGTAGTTCTGTGTCAGCACTGTGCGGCCATTGTGTCGAGTTGTGTACAGGACGACTGCACATACTGATATACTGGGAGCTCACATTGGCAGATTTACGTTTACAACAAAATTCAAGGAATTGACATCTGAATCGCCGAGCACTCAAGGAATAGAGGTAGAAGTTGATAGCATGGGTTGAGTCACACAAGATATAGGCGATCGTGTCGATGAGATAAAGAACCGCTCCCTCCATTGACTTGTTGGGTGGGTTCAGGTAGGGGGACATGATGAGCAAGACACATCTTGGTGTAGTCAAAACCACAAGAGTAATCGCTGATGTAACGAGCATGATGGTGATTTGGCGCTGTCGATCAGCTGGGGCATTAGCATCACTGTTCGAGCCGCTTCTGTTCAGATACCTGTGAGTCTTGGTAGAGTTGACAATGCCCACAATGATGAGAAGGTTGAAGACGAGAAGCAGGACACACGGTACTACGGCATACACGAGAACGTTGATCCAGTACCATACGTGAACCATGAAATAGATATATTTCTCGTTGATTTTACAGAACACGCTTTTGGTGGAAGCATAGTAACGGTAATCCATCGTCCAGAAAAGATGAAGAAATAGACCAACAAGGGGCAAGGTTATAGACATCACGACAGTCAATGATTTCCTGAAGGTCCAGATCTTGCCTATCTGGAAGGGGAACCACACCGCAGCAAATCTCTCCACAGAGAGCCCAACAAGGAGCCAGTTGCCATAGGTGATGAGGAAGTTACCAAAGAATCCCAGAAACTTGCAGCCAAATGTTCCAACCTGAACTCCGTTGTCCGTGAGGACGAACATCAGAAGCTTGTTGACGATTGCGAGGTTGTCGACGATGGCGAGCAGGGCGATGTAGACTGTGAGGGAACGTGGAGGGGACATCCTGATGATTGTGATGATGGTGAAACAGTTTCCTGGAAAACCTAAGGCAAGTATTGCCCACAAGTAATACGTTTCTATGTCATATGCTAAAGCGTCTATTTTTACCCAGTTGTTGTTCTCCTGAGATGGGGACCACGATGTTATTCCCAACTCCACTGATGAGTTTCGTTCCATTTTTGCAATTTGTGTTTGTTTTGCTGTATAGGATAAAGTTATTTCTCCTGGGAAACATCCATGTCAGTTGCTACTATTACGTCTGAAATATGTTGGGATTTAACAGCATCTGGTAAAATGGGCTGGCAGATGAATTTCTCCGTCTTCTCGTTCCATTTATGGTTTCCTCAGTATTGTGTCTGAATCTAATTCTGAAAGGAAATTCATTTTAAGATTTAAAAGTTCATAAAATGTCTAAGTGGCATAATTTGAAATACTGTGCTTGTTGTTTAACGTAGCATTCAGCAATATATAAAGCGGTCTGTAATTAATCGAGTCTGGAGCAGACACTCCAATGACTCATATTTTAAACTACATTGTTTGTTTGTTGTTTAACGCCGCACTCAGCAATATTCCAGCTATATGACGGCGGTCTGTAAATAATCGAGTCGGGACCAGACAATCCAGTGATTGACATCATGAGCATCGTTCCACGCAATGGGGATCGATGACCTGCATCAACCAAGTCAGCGAGCCTGACCATCCGATCCCGTTAGTCGCCTTTTACTATATGAATGGAACACTGAAAAACAATGATATAATACACGGTGGAACGCGATGTACATGGTGATCAGAACAGATTTGTCGTAAGAATGAGTGAGTGAATATGATTTTGCGCCGCTTTTAGCAATATTCCAGCAATATCACGGCGGGGGACACCAAATATGGCTTCACACATAGTACCCATGTCGGGATTCGAACCCGAGAATTCGGCGTGACGAGTGAATGCTTTAACCACTAGGCTACCCGACAGCTCCTTGTCGTAAAAGATACTGGTCATATCCCTTCATCGTCAGGGGCAAACCGGTGTACTTGTAGGTTTAGTTTGGCTTCAGGGGGTGCATAACGATAATATCAAAATGTGTACAATCAATAAGGGATATTTATGAGGGAAAAGCAACCTTATAGCTTTGAAGTTTCAATGATGGATTTGTTAAAATGTTACTGAATATGGTTCTGCTCAAAGGGAAGAAAGGGATGAAAAATGTTGGACATTAAATTACACACTGTGTTTACAATGTGTTTACCGTAAAGATAAACAACATCCCAAGAATTCCAAATGATGGCATTCTGTATCCAGCGGTACTTTAAGAGGACAGCGGTCAACCTCTGGCGTTGACGTTTGTTCTTACAAAACAATAAAGAAGTTGTCCATAACAGCTTCATAAGATTGTCTCCTGCGACTTAAATCAACCACACTCGACACTCTGTCCTTTATGAAATCTTACAATGTTACAGAAGTATAAATGAATATTGAAATGATGTGTGTGCCATGCCGAATATCATGGTTGGATTCTACATGGGAAGAGCTTCATGATGTTTGTTTGTTTGTTTGTTTGTTTTTTAACGCCGCACTCCAGCTACATCACGGCGGTCTGTAAATAAATGAGTCTGGACCACACAATCCAGTGACTGATGTCATGAGCAACGTTTCACACAATTGGGATACGATGACATGCATCAACAAAGTCAGCAAGCCTGACCACTCTATCTCGAAAGTCGCCTCTTACAACAAGCATAGTCGCATTTTATGGCAAGCATGGGTTGCTGAAGACCTACCTATTGATAGTGAAGGTTTGTTGATCAGTCAGTGGTTTGAGTCTAGATTAACATATTACTGATATAATGGAACAAATAAATTACAAATAAGTTAAATATACATTTGTAATTAATAACTTTCTGTTTCCTTCATGATCCTGAATCTATAATTAATAATAAAAATGTCTATGTATACGTGAGTAAGTTACGATTTAAAGTCACATCGGCAATATTTCAGCCATATAGTGACTTAATAAAGTTATACATTAATACATATAAACATTAAAATCTGTCGACAAAGGACAGTAAAAGCACTAGACTATCACAGATGTAGATTTAAAACTAGCATATCATCATACAATTTGAACTATTCACAACAGTACACAATAAAAATGGGCTATAGATCACCAATAACCAAAGGTAGGTCACCATACTAGGTACCATGGGGACTTACGGTACTTCTGCTACCTACATGGTACCTCAGCAGGATTTACACCATCCTTCTTGCAACTGGCGATTGTTAGTAAGTTTTAGCCAAATCATTAAAAATCAACAAGAATTCTACGATTAAAAACATGGAAATGAAACATACTTTGAATGAAATGGGACTTACGTACCCTCTTAGGGGGACAATTATTTTACCATTTACGACTTACCATTATGAACTGGCCAGGATTCAGAGAAGAGCATTATCCAGCTGTCGCCTCCAACAGTCGATTCACAAATACAACCGTCTGTTCACATCAGTACGCACTATACCCAAGCGTGATCGATATTCATGCCTCCCTCCATACAGTGCTATGTTCTGGGGGATGAGGATGTTAAAGTCCATTATCGCTGTTTCAGGGTGTCGACTTTGAGGAAGGCTACAGGCGGGTTGACTACTGGGCGGTACTGTTTCTTTCTTTGTTTGTTATTTATTTAACGCCGCACTCAATATTCCTGCTATGTGACGGCGGTCTGTAGATAATCGAGTCTGAACCAGACAATCCAGTGATTGATATCATGGGCATCGATCCACGAAACAGGGATCGATGACATGCATCAACGAAGTCAGCGAACCTGACCACCCGATTTCAAGGAGACTGTCATGCACATAAAGAAAACACACCGTCGCCACGATCACAAACGTCCAGATGCCAATTACTATAAATGTGGCCCTTCCGGACACAGAGGATGGTGCAGGCAGACATACAGACCGAAGTCATCTATCAAAATGACGTGACTAGTGATCGATCAATATGTCCCTAAAATGTTTCTAGTAATGTTAATATAAAACGTTGGCTCCAGATGATAATAAGCATGTCATTGTATCCCAATTGCGTCGATCGATGCTCATAATGTGTTTGGTTGGTTGTTTGTTGTTTAACGCCGCACTTAGCAATATTCCAGTTGTATGACGGCGGTCAGCAAATAATCGAGTCTGGACCAGACAATCCAGTGATTGATAAGTTGGTATGAGATTATTTAACAGTCATACATAACTGGATATTACATTTAAAGACAATCGGTGCATGAATAAAAAATCTGTCTATTTAGCCAACACTATATTTCATCAACAACCAGACCTGTTCGTCACGGGTGGAACGAGCATTTTTTGTAACAGCCATCTGCATAGTGCTACCCCTGCGTCACAGGGCCATATGACACAGTTGAACCAATCAACTCAACTCGAAAGGTTGCACGGGAATCACGGACGCACGAATACGGTGTTAGCATTTTATTTCATGATGTCTTAGCGCAAGCATCTTTCCGCTGATTCGAAAGGTTTCGTTGTTAAAATATTTGAATACTTTAAAGCTGAAAGTGAAAGACATTTCAAAGTACATGAAAAGAACAATTCATGCGTTACAGCTTCCCAAACAAACCGTAGTTTGAACTCTCATAAAAGCACATGCTCCCCTGCACATCCCTTAGGGGGCATCTCAAAACAGGAAAGGAAATTAAAGTGAGATTCCTTTGATGAGAAAGTTGTCACGGACGTGATTCGGCGGTGAACACGCGAAAATGAATTTATTTCAACACGAAAACTAAAACAAATTCTTCTTACAGAGCTTTACTTAGATATTTCCAAATGGACCATTTGTAAACTCCTTTCCAAATTTGGATATCAGTACAAAAAGACGAAAGGGTCGAAACTAGCAATGTGTGAACGACCAGATTCGTTTGCGTATCAATTATTTGCGCACTATTAGAAACGAGAACAAGGCTATGAGCCTGTCTATTTGGACGATACCTGGGTTAACGCCTGCCACACAGCGGCTTACCAGTGGTCTCACCCAGATACCAGAGAGCCACAGGGCAAGATCCCCCCTGGTAAAGGGGAGCGCCTGATTGGCCATGCAGGCTCCCACAGAGGTTTCCTCCCTGGGTGTGATCTAGTGTTCAGATCCAGATCTACAGATGGCAGAGACTACCATACCAAGATGAATATTCAGGTTTTCACTGCGTATGTTGAAGAGCAGCTCCTCTTAGCACTGCCTGATAAATCCTTGGTGGTTATGGACAATGCTCCCTATCACAGTTGTCGAGATCCTATTAACCGTTGTCCAACCTCAAATTCCACCAAAGATCAGCTATGTCAGTGGTTGGACAACAACCGCATTGCTCGGCCCACGAAAGCCAAAAAAAACTGACTACTACCAAATGGTTCTTCAGAACAAACCATCGCCCTCTTATTTGATTTACAACATGTTGAGAAAACACGGTCACGAAGTGCTTAGACTTCCTCCTTACCATTGTGACTTGAATCCCATCGAACTAATCTGGGGTGATTTGAAAAATATGGTCGCACAGCAAAATAAGACCTTCAAGCTTGCCGACGTCAAGCAGATTGTCTTGAAAGAGATGGGAGAAATTACAGATGTACGTTGGGCAAACTGTGTCCAACATGTTATCAAAGTTGAGGAAGAGTATTGGAAACAAGACTGTATCCGACCAGATACTGTCCAGCCTGTTGTTGTTCATTTAGGTGACAGCACAAACTCCGAATCTGACGACGAGGGCATTTCATTGGACCAAGAATAATGCAATACATATACCCCTGTTTCACAACGACATGTAATAGCCTGAATTACCACGGATATGAATTCTTACATATTCGTACATATTCTTAATCATTTCTTAAGAATCTGAAATATACCTTATTTGATTCCAAAACATTCTTGTAGTTCGTGGGATTCGTGGGAACAAATTTGTTTATCAAAGAATTTCTAGGAATCGTCTACGAATTTCAGGTTCGTGCTTTGTAGTACATGTCGTAATCGTGCAATTCTTGGCTCAGAATTTGATTCTCTTACACCCGAAACAGCCCCGAAAGTCTCGAATCATCTACGAAAATATTAAAATATTTTCTTCGAAACCATAAACAATGATTTGTCTGAATGAATAATTACGTATGATATATTACACCTAATAACATGATGCATGAAATATAATAATGGGGAAAGTAATGATACATTCAAGTCAATAACACTGACCTGAAAAAGAATGCAAAAATAATTGGATAAATATTATTAAATAACTGCTAGAGATGCTAACACCGTATTCATGCGTGCGTGATTCCCGTGCAAACTTTCGAGTTGAGTTGATTGGTTCAACTGTGTC